CTCGCGAGGTTGACATTGAACGCGAGAAGGTTGAATTCCGAGACCGGCAACCAACGAGGCCTCGCGAAGTGGAGAGAGATGAGTTCATCTATCGACGAGACGAGAGCCGTCACGGCCGGGATCGAGAGGTTGAGAAAGAACAATTGGTGGTCCGTGGGCGTGAGAGAAGCTTACCACCTCCACGATCTCGAGGAGAATTAGTAGCGAGAGAACGAGAGGAATTCGTCGTCCGCCGTCGAAGCCCTCCTTCGCCTCCTCGAGAGACGATCAAGGATGAGATTGTCATCCGTCGCAGGGAACAACGCTCGCCGACTCCTCCACCTCCCCCACCACCACCTCCAGAGCCAGAACCGATTGTCAGGCCTCCCATCATTCAAAATATCATCACGCATCATCATCATATCGATCACGGTAAGTTGAACTGTTCCAGCTTCATTATACAAGTTCTAACATGGCCGTAGGAATAGAGAGGGCTCGTTCACCGACTCCTTCCCCACCTCCTCCATCCCCACCGCGTGATGACAGCCTTGAGATTTCAATTCGTCGGAAAGAGTGAGAATCACAGCTTCTTGCGTTTGCCCATGTATACTAACAGTTTGTAAAGGAGCCGAGGCGGCAGAGCCTTCGACGAAGATATCCTTTTCGAGCGTGAGACTCGCGAGCGAAAATCCCGAGATCTTGAAATCACGCATTCTCGTGGCCGATCACTCAGTGCGCCGAGACGCCGCTTCACTGCTCCAGCAGATTCTGATCTCGAGATGGAGGCTGATTACTATAATCGCAAGGCTTTGGAGCGTGCCTATCCGGGTGAGGCATACAATGGCGCCACCAAGGACTGGGCAATTGTGGATGTGCCCCCGGGGACAAACCGCGTCCGCATGGATGGGATTGGCGGCGGTGGTCAGGAGATCACCTGGCAGCGTTACAATGGCGTCCGCCGCTCCAAATTCATCAGTGGGGACGATGAAATAGCCACCGACTTTGGCATGCCTGCCCATAGCCCAGCAAAGCCAAAGACAAAGGATATGTGGACAGAAATTACGAAAGATTTGGTAATCAAGGATGCCATTGAGCATATGGGATACGATTACGAAGAGACGGACTATTTCTTCTACGTTATGGAATACCTACGCTACGTAAATCCTTCCTCCCATTTATGAATTTCCCAGAGCTAACACGTATCTAGGAGGATGTTTTGCAACTCGTCGAGATCTCAGACGATATCCGTCGAAAGCGCCGATCCCGAATCCGCCAAATCGAATATGAGCGCGAGGAGATTCGAGATCGGAGACCACCAGGCTATGACGAGCGCTTCTACGAGCATGAAGTCTCGTACGATAGACACCGCCATAGATACAGATAAACGCGCGGTATTGCAGGGACACCCATGAGGGTTCAGATGAGCCTTCAAATACCGCCCCTATCCCAATTGGAAGCCTCAAAATGACCGTGATCAAACGGTTTTTGATCCTTCTGGCTAGGATGCACTTCTACATAGCTCTGACTGCACTCTCCGACTTTCGACCAGAATTTACACTGTTTTTCTATTCCCTCGTCCAAGTCGTGGCCCTGGCCTTGTTTCTAGTGTGGGCGACAAGAAATGAGCCATGGCAGGGTTTTGGCAAAAAGTTTGAAGATGATACCAGATTTACGACTTCATGACATGGCCTGACCCGTGACGATCTGTTTCTGGCGCAGAAAACGGATCTCTCTGTCCAGGCTCTGGATTTTTACGACTTTCATGATCAGCATTGGTGGAGTGGGCAAGACTACGGCTTTTCTTTTTAACTTTCCTTCCTCATTCGGATTGTTACTCGGGTTTTGTTGTTTCTTCTTCTTTTCTTTTTAGGATGGGTAAGGATGGATGGAGTGTGGTGGATATTTCTTCCCATCCAAGTGTTACATACATGACTTTCGAAGGCACGATTATGAATAGAGTCTCTGACTTCAACTGATGACGATTTTAAGCATAAAACTGGCAGTGCATCCGATATATTGACCATGCCAAAATAGGCACGCGAGACAGAAAAAGATACGTTCAAGCGGGCGCCTCGCGCCTCCTCCCTCACCTCCTGCTCATTGACAATACCTCTCGGCACTAGCACCAACAACTAGCTCTAACAAACCTTTCTGTAGCATCGGAAGCTCTACTTGGAAGGGCTCCAGGACGACCGTTAAAGCTGACGTCTTTTTGAAGTCCGCGTCCAGCACGCACCAAAACCGGCTAGCCTTCCACCCAGACCAGTCGTTCTGTTCCCCGCGTCGCCGACCCCAACCAAACTTGGAAGAATCCCTCCAGCAGAGACCAAGGCTGACATGCCAAAACCAAACGTCACCGCAGTGTTTATTGGGGCTCCTAAAAATATCTGGCAATTTCATGTAGCGCCGCAGGCTTAGGCCCTGCCTGCTGCAGGTGTGGTTGGTGGCGACCCCTGACTTTGGCCAAAGGCTGTAAGCGCCCAGCAATGGGGGCTGCGCGGTGCTATTGGGTGGGTAGCTCCTTGCATGCGACAACACGCTCTGCGCGCAGAGTGGAAGCGCTGAGTTGTTTCAATGTGAGGGTAAGATGAACTGGCAGGTGTATAAGGTGGGGTGAGCGTCTTCCTTTTCGTTCCCATCGGAGTTTTTTCGTCTGTTTACCTTGATGCGAGTTGGTTTTGCGTATCTTGAGTTGAGCATACTTCATGCGCAGTGCGGTCGTTGAAGATGTTCAAGCCGTTGGTTTCTGTGCTTACGGTCCTGTCGAGTACGTACCTTTCGGGAGTCTCAGTATCTTACGCTGAGGAACTTGGATGAATTTGAGCTTGAGGCTGACAGCGTAATCCCGCAGTTCTACCAAACATTCAAGCTGCAGCTCCAACTGCATCGACCTTGTTCCTCTCGGAAACAGAAACGCAGTTCTCGGTCAATATCGCGAATGACACCGATGATGTCTTCATATACTTTTCGAGTCCTGCTTACTCGTGGGTGGCGGTCGGGTTTGGAGAACGGATGCAGAATAGTTTGATGTTTGTTATGTATCCATCTGAGGATGGGAAGAGTGCGTGTTCCCGAAACAATAGAAATGCGTATCAAGAGGATGGTATACTGATATGTGGTATATAGATGTCACAATCAGCCCCCGAATCGCAGACGGCCATTCGGAGCCCAGCTTTACTCGCAACATTCAGCTTGAGACTCTGCCCGGTACGGAAATCAAAGACGAGGCTTTCATCCTTAAGGCGCGTTGTCGGAATTGTCAAGTGTGGGGAGGAGGGTACTTGGATAAGACAAGTACCACTCATCCCATGATATACGCTTTTGGTCCTGGAAACAGATTGCAGTCGAATAAGCCTGATGCCCCTTTGAAGAGGCATATCAGATACGGAAAGTTCACCATGAACATGGTCGCTGCGACTGGAAAAGGCGAGGTCCCTGCTCCGAGCTCAGCACTTAGTGGAGTCGAGATAAAAGGAGGCATGACGAGGGACCACGACCGCGCAAATCTGGCACACGCAGTCATTGGCTGTCTTGCCCTCTTCATATTCTGGCCTCTGAACGTCCTTCTCGCCGGCTTCTTCAAGAAAATGAAGCTACACATTGGAATGTCCGTCTTCATCATGATCTTCCTCATCGTCGCCTACGCCTTGGGAATCTACACGTCGGGCGAATACAACCGCGTAAGCTTACCTTGCCTCGCTCTCTCTCAATACCAACACTAACCCTTCAATCAGTCCAAAAAATTCAACTCCCCCCACCAAATCCTCGCTTTCATCACCCTCCTCCCGATCCTCTTAATATCCATCCTACCAAACCCACGCATTTCACAACTCACACCAATAATTCCCCGCCTGCACACCCCCCTCACCGCCTTCACCTTCACTTTCCTCGTCCTGACCGGCGGTCTCGGCCTCCACCTCTCTAATTCCTCCCGCCCGATCATCCTAATCTACACCTCGATCTCCCTCGCCGTCTTCCTCTTCATCCTACTCATCCAATCCTGCATCTGGAAACGCGGATCGCGTTACTCGCGGCACCGTCGCTCCCGGCACGGGGAAGCAGAGGAGGATGAGCAGGATCTAGTGCTTGCGGCGTGGTATGCGGGGCGCAAGATGGAGGAGCAGGAGAGCCGGAGTACGAGTGCGGCGAGCTTGAATAGGCATGATGGGAATGGGAATTATGGGAATAATGGGTATAGTGGAATGGGTGGGAATGGGAGTGGGCAGAATATCTATGGAGGTGGGACGATGCCAGGACCGCAGTATTTGATGAATATGCATCCCGGTGTACCGGTGCATAAGTGGTGAGGGTGCGTGGGAGATTGAATGTTCGTGAATGTATTATCATGGCAAGGGTGTTCTAAGGGATTGGGATAGGTGGGTACATATGAATTTTGGATTCGGAATTGGGTTCGATGGGATTGATACCAGGCGTTTTCGGGACATGGGATACCGTAAGCGTGCATCTGACAGGCGTCTCCTTTTTTGTAACGAATTTCCTTTCTCTTTGATATGAGCAAGGACATCAAGTTCAGCGAGAATACAACTAGTCTCTTCAAATGATTGAAGTCCCATGATTGTGCCCGAGTGCCCCTAAAGAAACCATCACCCGTCGCAAAGCCATGCCTGGAATTCTCAAGCTCTTCAATATTGATCTGATCTTGTTTTTTTTAAGGCAATGGGGAGCGCAAAGGAAAGCTGTATAGCGTCTTAATCTGCCTTCGCACTCTCAGGTTCTCTTCCCAACAGCTGTATCAATTGCTAGAAACCGCAGGAATCACAGTATGTGTCCAACTAATTTCAAAAAGACAAAAGCAATTAATGATTGACCCATAATCAAGAGGAACCCAATCAGTACCTTCATGGTCTGTTCTGGTGGGGGGACAAAATGGTTGTTTCGCCTCCACTTCGTCTCCACCTCATCTCCCAAAGCTCCAACCTCAACGCACAAAAAAATCAGCAAACGTCCAGATCACTAGAAGAGATCAAAAAGGTTAAAAAAAAGATGGCTGTAATAATCAATGACTCGGCCGAGGTTCGAACTCGGGACCTTCAGTGCGCCTAACATTTGCTTGTTAGACTGACGTGATAACCAACTACACCACCAAGCCAGACCAATCTAAAGAAGTCTTTAACCATCTTCATTGGTACATTTGAAATATTATTAAGTATATATAGCATAAAGAGAGGCATATAAAGACAGAGAAGGCATGAAGTGGGGCAGAAACAAAAGTTTTACTGGTACGGAAGGTGGGGTGGATGGAGGCGGAGAAGGCGTGGCTAGTCAGGGTGGCGTCATTGATTGGTTGGATGGGTGTGCATGTCCAAGCATTGAGCGGAGATGGGAAGTGTTTTAGGAGGGATATAACGGGATATGATTTGGAAATTTATAGAACCTAGATCGAAGATGCATAGTATGGTTCAGGACCTACGGTTAAACGAAGGAAGGAAGACTCCATTTTCATTGAGACATTCTTTCCACATCGAACCGCAACGGAACAATACAGATTACATCTCTAGAACTCTTATTCTGGCTCTAGACGGCCTGAAATTATAGCTCCAGCAAGTTTTACAAACATACATCTAGGCATTTAGAGAGGATGGTTTCGGATTTGGCAGCAGTGGAAGTATTGTAGAGCCGAAGAGCACGCTGTTAGAGTATTTGCATTTCGACGGTTTTATAACAAAGTCGTGATAATTACGAAATCGTGTCGTATCGGTCGTACCGCATACATGAAATGCACTCAGGCCCAATCTAAGAAAAGAAAATGAGAACAAAACCAACAGCCAAAGAAGGCTCTCAATACTCCACATCCGGGCACATGTCAAAGTTGTTCAAGAAAGCGAAAAGAACCCGTTTCTTCATACAATCTGAGGTATGCTACCTATCCAACCTGGCAACTTTATAACATTTGGAGGTAGGATTCTCACAGGTACGAAGTATTACACGACCAGGTAGACTCGTGCACCAACAAAGTCGATTGCAATCACTGACTTCAAGAACTCGATCCAGTCGTTCTCTTTAGGCTTATACCAGGAAGCGAGATAATGGAATATCGTACCTGTGACTGTGTAGATTGCCGCCGTTCTGTAAAGAATGGATTCTGTACCGGTAGCAAAATGCCAATACCATGCAGCGAGATGGGCAGACCCATATATTGCCCCTGCAAACAAAACACCAAAGCCAAGTTGATAACGGCTCCTGGGTTTATCCGTCAATGTAAGTTCGTCAAGATGGTAATAACCGGTATAGATGTCGTCGTCCGGCCAGTTGGGGATCCGGTTAGAGAGTAGCTTAGCACAATTTTGAATCCTACGCGGGAATGTATGTAATGTAGCACCCGTGCCGCGGTTTCGTTCATCTATAACCCTCTCATTCGGACGTCCCCATCAGTCAGATAGCACATAAGCGCAATGATATCATCCGTACCTCAGCTGAGCGACGTTCAGAGGTTCAGACCACCATAGAATGTACGAGCATATGACGGCTAGCACGTGGATGAAAACGGTGTGTTCCAGGAGACTGATTGGAGGTCCTATGATCCATTTGCTACGCACTGGATACCAAACCAGATTACCTAGCAAACATGTAATGGTCTTCGCAACCCACCCCCATGCTCTTATCTCCGATTTCTTTCCGGGACACATTCGGAATCAGCTCTGGGCGGTGCTTTAGAAGGAACTTTCCCCCCCGAATATGTGAGATGAAACCGCTTTTCGATCTCCCGGGAGAAAGGATGTATTGACAATGAAGCCTCCCATCGCAGCGTAGAAGCCGTGGACCAGGCCCCATTTGTAATGATTTTAATATACCCTGGCTCGGAGAAACTTTCAGTAATTCGTGCTGGTATCTGTACGCACAATCGGTCTTGACTATGAATACGCAGTCATCGAGTTGGACGGAAGGGAAGTATCGAAATGTCCAGACTTGGAAGAAAGATCCGGCGCAAACTGAAGAGCAAACATACTTGAGACTCCTCGTTGCTTAACTTGTCACGTAGGTTATCGAAGGCCTCGCGGGCATAACGCCGAAGGCCCCGCGCTTCTTTCCACTGGTAGAAAGCTGGCTATAGTACAAAGTCTGGCGTTATAAGGGCTAGAATAAGCCAACCTATCCTGCGCGATGACTGCTTGCTGGGTAAGTCCGGTTGATACGATCAATGATTCTCAGCAAAACCAGGTGGGTAATCCTCGCAGGTAGATTTGAGTGAAGTGCCCGTCTACACGCAAAGACCAAGGTGATAAAGCAGCTAACAAGAATTGCCCCAGTCCCACGAGAGTTTGATTTGGAAATCCAACGGTCCCTAGTGTTGTTTGTCATAGTCCCTTTATAGTGTGAGAACCGAAGGAAGGCGCCTGTAAGAACGAACATATGAGATTTATTGACAATCATGATGAATTGATATAAATACAAAGAATAGGACGAAAAACCTCCGTATGGAGACATGTGGCACTTTAAAGTGTCAGATAAATAAAATAGCAAAAACATTCTAGTTGCTCAAAATTGATCCGATTGAAGTAAACAAGTAACAACAGTGAGAGCGAACTCTTGAAATCTAGTCTAACTTAATGAAAAATATCTGCAATCGAAAATCATGTAGAGAGGTTACTATGTGTAACTATACTATCCTCGCACATTTGAAAGAAAAACCCTCTACGGCCTAATTTCCCGTCCCATTCGGGCTGCTGCAAACAACAATACCTCCAGAAGTAGCCTTCATAGCCTCCGTAACATCGAATTCGTGCATCCAATGTCGGTCTGGAACGACCTGTGAATCTCTTTGCCTGGCTACACCGCAGCGCAGCCCAAAACGCTGATAGCACCACAGCAGCCGCGGTAGTTGTCCAGCAAACCGCGTCCGCAGCCGTCCACCTGGTTGTCGTACGGTACACTGATGGTAATGTCCCAGGAGTGGGTAGTAACGGTGTAAGTGCTCTGGCAGACATTTGTCGCGCGGCGGTCAATGGGTTGGGCCAAGGCCTCGGGTTGGGCGGTTGGAGCGCCGTCGGTGAGACTGGTGAGGAGAAGAGCGAGGGTGGAGATGGTGGTGGTGAAGTACATGGTGAATTGTTGGCTGAAGGTGGCTTTTGAAAAGAAGAAGAGTGAAGAAGAGTAGAGTTCTGCATACTCTGTATTTGGTTGATGGATAAGGTGATAGAGAGAGACTTTGAGTTGTGTGCTGGATGCTGATGAGGATCGTAAAAGGGTAGAACAGAGTTCCCTGTATAGACTTTAGAGTTCAATTATGCTTCGATTCATAACCAACTTTTCAATACAGCACTCCATGGATACGTTCCGCAAAACACAGCGATCGCACACAGTTCTCCCAAAAGGCAGTTTCGTTCGCACACTGCTCCCCAAAAGGACGTTTCGTTTTAAGGAAATTATATAGGATTAAGGAGAGTTGGCTGTGAAGTCCGTGAAAGCATGTTGGGCTCGACTCTGCCTGGGATCTGATGAAGATCGTGATACTATGTTTCCCAGGGTAAATGGAGCGATTGATGTTTGAAAACAGAATCTGCTGAATGTGAAAATATTGCCAAGGAGAGTGAGTAGCTATTTGCTAGAAATTACGTGAGGAGAAGGAGTGCATTGTAAACCTTACATGGAGGGGCTCTGAAGATGTAGAATGCGAAGTCATGAAGTCGTGACGCTGTGTCTACCCATGTTGGAGACTAAGAACACCCAGCAAATTATAAGGAATAGCAGAGGGAGCATAAGAGGAAAAGGGATGAGACGGAGATTGAAAAAAATTCGGACAAGAGAAAATCGGCCACCTGAGATACAGCTGGATGAGACTTTGGAGAGGGTACTCGCAGTTGCCTATTTCTTGATACTAAACTATAAAATCAAGTTAGTGAGTGGTGCGATGTAGTCGAAAGGTGGAGATGTCGTGATGCGAGCGTGGTGTTGAGGTAACGTCCTCGGTGATGTTTTGGCGTTGCTCGGCCAGCCGCTGTGTTTGCTGTGTTGCGTAAGAGCCAAAAGCTCCCAACCTCCCTCTAACCACCCCAATTTTCGACTTCAGCCACCAAGACCAACACAACTACTGCGGGAGCACAACTCCCACCCTTTCTCTTCTACATCCCCATTTTTACAACAGTCCACATCTGACTGGATTCTAGTTTGTATTGTCTGCGTTGCGGGCGCCGACTGAGCTACCATCATCATTATCCGATCGAGGCGAGCGTCAATTATTACCACTTCAGAACCACTGAGCGCCAACAATACTCTTCTCTGAGCCCCGGCTCAAGCCTGTGGGCTCATCTTATCTTCCCAACTTCATCAATACTTAACCACACAAGATGGCGCCCCTTCCCGACTCCATCCTCACTTACCTCCCGCGCTCCCTCCTCTCTGAATCTCCAACCGTCAATGTCGACGCTCGCTCTCTCTCCCCGATGGTCGTACATGATCTACATCTAGGGAAACGAGCCACGAATCATATTAACCCGAGTTCTGGTTCACGGCCGGCCACCGACTTCAACAACAAGGGTTTCCAGGCACTGTTCGCCCTAATCGGCGTGGGCATGGTGCTCACTAGCCTATGGTTCTTCTTCTGGGCTAAGAATGGTGGGTTCAAGTGGCAAGAGGGAGATTGGGAGGAGTACAAGTCTACTGTTCTTCGACGCAAGGGACCGGATGGAAAGACTCTTTCCAATGCCACCAAGAGTACGAAGTTAGGCGGAGGTAGTGTGGTGCACGGTGGGAGCTATGGCGCTGAGAGCAGCGTAGGATATACCGATGAGACAGGCACGAGTGCAGATTTCAGCGAGATGCGAGAAGTTGAGGAAGGACACAGCCGTCGTTTCGGCCTTCGAGGTGGTGAGGCAAAGAAGCATCGCCGTCAAAGCAACAAGAACGACTACAAAGATCCTGAGCTCCGCGAATACCGTCACGAGAAGCCTGCTCGCGTTGGTGGTCTCAATCGTCAAGCCGACGGCATCTACACCGACCATTCCAACACCGAACCCTCCGAACTCGGCTCCAATGTCTCTTCTAAACCCCTTGTTACCCCAAAAGACAAGAAGAAGGAGGCGAAGGCCAAGGAGCGTCGCGCAAAGGAACACATGAGGCAAGCTAAACAGCAAGAAAAAGAAGCTGCCAGAC